CACACCACACCACACCACACCACACCACACCACACCACACCACACCACACCACACCACACCACACCACACCACACCACACCACACCACACCACACCACACCACACCACACCACACCACACCACACCACACCACACCACACCACACCACACCACACCACACCACACCACAGTTGGTGTGATGTGGTGTTTTTATCCATCTAATAGTACATAAATAATATATACAGGGTGTTTAAAAAATCTTGCAAGGATGTTCTTTTTTGGATAACTTTTAATCCCTTTTATTAATATTTGTCTGAACTTCATTCTGTAAAACTTTATTGGTAGTTCTAAGGTTTAATGGTGACTTCTCAAGTTTTTACGTTACCATGACCACCATAGCAACCGCAATCAGTCCTCTAGCAACCGAGGTAAATTTAGGTAATTTTTTCTCTTATCGACCAAATGGTAGACCAATATTATCTACAAATGATATTGTATTATACTAATGATCATACAGCTTTTCTGAAGAGGCATATTCAACTCTGTTCTAAAGTCCACCCTAAAGTCTACCATAAAATCTAACCTTAAATCTACCATAAAATCTACCATAAAATCTACCCTAAAGTCTAACCTCAGTGGTTCGGCTTCTTAGCTGAACTGCCCATAATTTGAAATGTAACGTGCTATAAGTAATTCGAATTTTGAATTATACAAAGAATAACAGATTCTACTTGAAATTTATTGAAGCGAAAAAGCAATATTACATCTTGAAATGAAAAACTATTATTATTAAACGATTGCAATAAAAAGCTCAGTGAACAACAAAAAGCAGAAAAAAATTATAACTATGGAACATATAACAAATGTTCAAGTTCGGGGCGCTTAAGTTCGGGGTCGGGGACCGGGGTCGAAGTTGAACATCAGAGTTACGAAAGTTTGGCATCTGTTGTTCAGTATCCTGGTATTATTGTCATCTCTGTAACCTAACCTTTCTACACGTGTATCGATTCTGAATTGGCAGTGCAACTCTAACAATGGTTTGCAGAAACATCTGTATGGAGAGAATCTTCAGTGCACTGGTAGGAAGTTTATAAATACCTCCCAAGATTAAGGTAGTGCTAATTTCGCAATCAGACGTCGCTCCATTAAGTAAGGAACCGAACATTAGTGCACCCTTATCCTGGATTCTATTCCAGAAAAGGTAGCAAATTATTCCCAAGTCAAAGCTTATCTCCACCAAACTCGTTAGAAGACACTGCTTGAGATTTCTTTTCTGGTTGCTGCCCACGTCTTGTGTAGAGTTGTGGTAGTAGCCCACTATGTAGATGATGCAGAGTATTGCTGACCCAGCATAGCCCAGAAGGAGCAGTGTTGTTTCTATCACGGACATAATGTTGATGTGCCATCCGAAGTCATCACAGCGCCCACCCCAAACTGCTTCAAACTGCCAAATTGTTAAGGGTACATAAATCATAACCAGCTGAACGAAAACAGCAAAACCTAAGATTTTTTCCATCCTTTTTTTGTGTTCCCTGAAAACGAATGGCTTGTATAGTATGAAGCATTGAAATGAGTAAACTGTTTCTTGATAAAACTTCAGGAAAGTGATCGTTGTCTGGTGCAAACGACCTGAAAAGCTGTAAAAAGCAAGAAAAAGATCATAAAAACTAGACACAACACCTCTTACTATTAGATTTGCAGCGATTTCCTCGCTCAGAATAAACATTCCCATTATCATGTTCATGACAGGAAAAATACATCTCACCAATCTTACCATAATTTTCGACTCCTCCTTCAATTTAAATATAAAATCAATCAAAGCTAAGATAACGAAAACTGATCCAGCTATAAGAATTGCTACTGTTTTTTGTTCAAACGATTCGCTACTCATCAGGGTACCTCTCGTGTTAGACCAGTTTCCGGCTATGCTTCGGTTATTCATTACCTCTTGAAAGCCGGGCAGATCATTTAATGTCTCCTCTAAAGATTTGTGTATGAAATTGATAGCAACATCGACGTTAAGGGTCTCATTTTTTATCTCTAAATGAGCTACGCCATTTTCCTTCAACTCTTTAGTCAAGTCCCAGGTTTTAATCACTTTTCCATCCAACTCCAAATCAACCATAAACATGTCCGCAATATTTGTGAGAGTTTGCTGCCCCGTTTCTTCTAATTTTTCTAGCACAGTTTGAAACCAATCGATGTCACCAGTCTTCATGACGATCGGACGATTATTTCTGCCTCGACCTATAATGAATGAATATATTTTGTTCATTTTGTAAGTGTATGTCGTTTAAGTAATAAACAATTGAGTAAATTTAATATTTCTTATGTCGCATAGAACACATTGATTGTTAGAAAGCCCAAGAGAGCGTTGCTGCTTTATCGATTTATGACGAAAATGGAGAGAATACTGACAAATTACTAAATAAATCCAAAATAATATTGCTAGAACTACTAATTACCTTCGATTAATTAAGTTGAGGTTATAAAAATGAAGTTATTTATAATAACATGAAAGGAAACAAACTATTTTCCAGTTCAAAGAATATAACAAAATCAGGAAAGTCTTACATAAGTAGTGAGTACTCCAGACTTGTGTCTCCGCCGAAGCTCTGATCGACAATTCGGCGGAGAGAGAGAGAGAGCTTGTCCTTCTCATCGAGTTTAATATTCATGTGACGGTGGGCGCAGATTTATATTTATTTATTTTCATTTGTCTCATAGCAGTATTAGTAAGCTGACAACTGTATTGGTCAGTCTTTACCTCTGAGAAACTAATTACAATATTACATGTCACCCAACAAACTACTCGCTGTCACGTGATCCCACGGGCACGTGATCCCACGTGCCCGTGCCCCGACTAACAGAATAGTAACTCAGTTTGTAATAGTCCGCCAAAAATACTTTACATCAAACGTTGAGGGTCATTTTGTCTTACAATCGTCATCCAATACATAATTCATCACTCCTATAATCTGTTGTCCATATTAAACTGGAATTAAACTGGAATTAAACTTGAAATTACCAATGAGAACACTAACGAACTCGTTTTGGCTATACATCAATCATAAATAAATAAGTTCAGATATAAAATAAAAGCCGAATAAAAGTATGAAAATAAAATCCTAAAATTTAACCGCGTTACAATATCACGAAGTGGAAATAAAATCAAATATAATAATTTAAATGCTAGTAAAAATACTGAATGTGTGCATAAAAGCAAGTCCAAGGAGATAGGTTAAACTCAAATACTACTTGATAGGACGATGAAGGAGATGAGTAGGGGAGTCGGGACGTGAAGCGAGTATTAGGACTTAAACTTAGGATTTCGAAGGTTTGAAGAGTCTGTTAGGTGGTGATTACTAGGACTTCTTAGGAGGTGATTACTAGGACTTCTTTTCAGGAGGATGTCGAAGGTGAAAGGATTCTGTGAGGTACTTTCCAAATTCAGTTGCATGGAATGAGTTCATGATGGCCCCATATTCTTTGAGCATCATGAGGCTTTTAAGGTTGTCTGAGAGGTTGGACCTGAGGGAGTTGTAGCTGGGGCATTCATTTATGACGTGGTCCTCGGTTTCAAGGATAGGTGTTTCAAAGAATGGTAGTTCTTCGAAGAACCGCATGACGTCGGTGTCTGACGAGCAGCAAAAGCGACATGTTTTCAGTGCTGTGTTGTAGCGATCTCCAGTGTAGCGACCTTTCTCAATTCTCAGATCGTGACTGCTAGATCGAAGTTTCGCTCTTTTGACCCTGCATGGGAGCTGTAAGTACAGTTCTTCACCAAACTCAGCTTTGACCGCAGCGTAGAATGACATTTTAGGCTGGTTGTGAAGATCCTTCTTCCAGTGGTTAACAAATGTTTCGTGTATGTGTTCACGAGCCGCAAGGGTGTGGGGTAGGTGTGGCTTAGCGACAGTGCTCGTCTTGATGATAGTAGACCTAAGACCATGCATCATACCAGGTAAGGTTCAGCTGTTTCTGTTCCTGAAATGTATGGTGCAAGAGGGTATTCACGTTACCTACTACCGCTTGTGATGTTCTACAGAAGTAGGCAATACATTGAGGGAGGACGGTTACTGTCCAGGGGGTTCTACCTGTATCTCCGTAGCAGAAGTTGTTATTTGCCTTTTTGTGGACACCCAATATCCATTTAAGAATTTTCAAGTGAGTAGTTTCAATAGCATCTTTTGCTGCTGCTTTGGGAAGACTCGCTTCTTGATTTTTCGAGAGGATGGCTTTAACGATGTTGGTTGATGGCAGCCAAATAGGGCATCCATATGTGGCCACTGGCTTGACTAGGCTATCAATGAGTTTTAGCATCGTGCTAGTGGTAAGGGCTCTCGTGTCAATAGTTCGTCTCAGAGAGAAGAATGAGCGAAGAGCTTTCTTCCTAAGTTCATTGATTGCTTGCTTGAAGGAACCGTTCAGGGAGAATTGGATTCCTAGATAGCAGTATTTACTGACAGGTGCGATGTCCAAGTTGCCTAGTTTGAAGCCGTAAGCACATTTCAGTATTCGTGAGCTTGTGTTAAAGACCATCACGCTGGTTTTGTTGATATTCACAGACAGCTCCCACTTTTCAGCATAGTCATGCAAGCAATTGAGCAGTTTCTGTAAGCTGCCCGCATCCAGCGCTAAGAGTACCAGGTCATCTGCCCATAGGAGGTGACTTACTTTTACACCGTTTAATAAAGGTACATCCAATTCCTCGATTTGTTCAAGTCTGATAGAGAGCTCGTGGATATAGAGTTTGAAGAGCTCGGGGGACATTGGATGTCCTTGTTCTGTGCCGATGGTGACGTCGATGGCTGCGGATAGCTTTTGAATCAGCTTGACTCGGGTTGAAGAGTTATTGTACATGTGGCTGATGCAATCGAAGAATTTGCCTGTTATGCCCATGTTGCCCAGCTTGAACAGGAGTGCTTCCCTGCATACGCTATCGAAAGCCTTGCGATAGTCGACAAAGCAGGCGAAAAGTCGCTTCTTCTCTTTCTTGGTGTATTTCTCAATAATGGTATTCAAGGTGAGTAAGTGGTCGTTACATTGGGCTCCCCTCCTGAATCCAAGTTGATACGGTCGGTCCGGACAGGCGCTATTTCTCTAAATTCGATTAACCGTTTAAGGAGAAGGTTCGAGAAGAGTTTGCCGAGACAGCTCCCAATAGTAATAGCACGATAGTTATCAGGGTTTTGCCGGTCACCCTTTTTATGGAGGGGAGTTGTGATCGAGTTGTTCCAGGGGTAAGTCCCATGCTGAAGGCAGGCATTAAAGAGTTTTACCACGACGAGTTGAAGTGTCTCATTGGAGTTTTTCAACATCTCGTTGGATATCAGGTCATCGGACACACTCTTATTGTTTTGGAGTTTTTTGGTCGCATCTTTGATCTCCTGTAAGGTAAAGTCGCGATTCAGTTCATCGACCAGTTCCTTGATAGGCTGCGAATCATTGGACGTAGGAGTAGAAGTGCCATCATCCTTGGAGTGATTGTTCGCGCCACACTTTCGATTGTAGAGATCATTGAAGAATTTGTGAAAAAGGAGAAGATCGTAAATGTCGAAGGGTTCCTCATCTTTGTGCTGGTCAGATAGCCGTTTGAGCGCTGCCCAGTTAACCTCACCACATTCGTTTATCTTCTGGTTCATCTCGTACAGAAATTTCTCCTTTTTCATCCTCTTCATTTTTCGGTACTCCTTTTTTCTGAGAAAGTGCTGGTCACGTAGGAAGTTGCTGTGTGGGTTACTGTTAGCATTTCTGTCAGCTCTGTTGGCTTCCCTTTTAGCCTGTTTGCAGCTTTGGTCAAACCATTTTTTCTTGCTGGTGCGTTTGCCGCTTTTGGTGAATGACTGATCACTCTGTGCTAGCCGGAACTTAGTCGCTGTATCGGCAGAGAGGTTCTCTGATCTGTTCCATTTAAAAGATTTAGGAGCATCTTGGATATCTGGTGATTCAAGACTGGTAGAAATCCTTCTTAAAGGATTTGTGGATATTGACATTGATAGCGCCCTGTGATCAGAGTATTGAGAGATGCTCTCAATTTTCAGGTGGCGGACTCTGTCGTGAAGACTCGTCGAGACGCAAATGTAATCAACTGTGCTGACGCCATGGCGCTGAATACAAGTGGGTTCACCGAATATATCACCGAGAGTTCTACCATTGAGGATGACTAGGCCTGCCGTTTGGAGGAGTTCAATGAAGGGTCGCCCATTCGTGTTTAGCTTAGGGTCTGAGTTATTGCGTTTAGCCAACTGTTTAACGAAATGGGGGTCGATCGCGATGTCTTTCATTTGACTATGGTCAGACAACATGTCGTCCAGGGTGCCAGTTCTAGCATTGAAATCCCCGAGAAGGATGACATCCTCGTTCAGCGGTACACCCGCCAAGAATTCTTGAAGATGCTCTAGAGTTGTCATACTGTCTTCAGTTTCTAGACCTCTTCTTCGCTTCTTGAAGGATCCATTAGTGGGTGAGTCATAGACGTTTATAAGATAGGTGTTTCTGTCTAGGTCGAAGTAGTTAGCTTTCAGTTTAACTACAACGATATCTTCCGTGGAGTTCATACGAACATTGGTTACACCGGCTTTTAAGCTTTTGTGAACTCCTATACATACCCCTCCTGAATTTGATCCCTTCCTGTTAGAATTAAAGCAACAGTAGTTACTTATGTTGATCTCCCCTTTAGTTTCTTGAAGAGCAAAAATATCGTGGTTGTCGAACAGCTCACGAATTTCGGGAATGTCAACCTTGGCTCCTTCAACTTTGTCCCGAGAGTGGTTGATATTCCAGCACAGGAACTTAAGGGAGTGGCGGGACCTCGTTGGTGTGGGTTTAGTCATTGCTAAACCTGTTGGTGCTGCGTCTTGTAGTTGTTTCATCATTGTCGTGGTAGCTTATTCGGGGGAGGCGCAGGGTCTTCCTCAGGCCCTCCCGGAGGCGAAGCCAGAGCATGTTTTGACCTCTCTGTCTTAGTTCGAATCCTGTGTTGAACGAATAAAAGTTTTGATCGCCAATTTTGTCGTTGGTAAAGGTGATCAAGATCCTATCTTTGACATCCGGCCTGTGTTCGCGGAGCCAGCTAACATGGTTTCTAGTCTCCTCGTTGACGACACGTATTCTTTCATTAATGCTAAAATCATTGGAGGATGGTATCAGCGCTGAGAAGCATATTTGGGCCTTTGTGGTGTTCAGAAGATGTTCGTAGAGTTCCTTCACATTACCCACAAGGCTTGATTTCTTCTTGAGGAAATCATTGCTCCCTGTGTGGATATAAATGCACTCCGGTCTGAGTCGCTTTATAGTATTGTTAAGCTGCCTTGTTTTTTTCAGCATGTCTGAATAACTTTTTGCTTTAAAGCAGTGAACATTGAACTGACTGTTAAAGCGCCTTGGATCAAATTTGTCAAAGCTCTCGTCATGGACCAGAAGAACTGTGTGTCGCCTGTAGCTTCCCGTAGCTTTGGCGGCAGAGTTTGCTTCACTAAGACCCCGATCGGGGGTGTTGGTTTGCTCTACTTGGTGTCCAGAATCATTTGTTCGGCTTCTACTGATGAGGCTCCCTTGATTTAGCCTCATTTATTTAGTAGGTTGATCATCTTTGGAGCCCCTTTCATTGTGGTTTTTCATGTTCTGCTTGTTTGCCACTGTGAATCTTTTGTTGTTGTTTTGTTCGACCACCTTTGCCCAGGAAGTCGCTGATTGATTGGGCTCGTTTTCTCCTAGACGTGCTGTGGCATTACTTGAACTGTTACTGAGTGCACTGGGTTTATCGTGATTGGATGTTGATTTAGTGTTCACTGTGAGAGGACTGTTGGGAGCCACAGTTATGTTTGTCGCTGCAGGTTGGTCAGCAGTATTTAGAGCTTGTATAGTGTCCTCTAAGTTGATCTCCAGGGCTTCTATTCTCGTCCTGTTGGAAGCGCTTGTGGTCTCAATTGCATCGACGATGGGGCGAAGCTCGTGTTTGAGTTCTTGGGTTGAGGCATGAGATTGGTTGAGTGCAGACTTGGCAATTCCCTTCGTGACCTTCGTCAAGTTTTCTTTTATTTAAAACTAAAATCTACATGTCCATCTCAATATGTAAATCTGCCCTCACCCTCCTATTAATTTATTATAATTATATGGTAATTAAATCATTTGTATCAACAACTATTGCATTAATGATCAGCTTCACTACGTCCAACATCCGTGGGCTCGGTGTTCAGCAAGATGACAGTCATTAGTCAACATAGTAAACGTGAGTTACTAGGATTAGACTGTGAAAAGTACAATGTCGACATTTGCGCTCTGCAGGAAACTAAAGTCACCGAATCAGACAGCCTTGTTTTGCGCAACGGTTTTAAAGTGTATGTACGACCGCCCACGGCCCACGTGCAAATTATATGAGAAATATGAAGTTGCATAGTAACCTGCATGGTAACGATGATTGTTACACGCACGTGCACGTGCAATGATTGTTTTAAGTTTTAACGTCTTTTTGATCGGTTTTGTTGATATTACGCTGTGTTTAGTACAATTAGCAACATTTTAATTGGCTGTATCTTCGGTTGTGTAGGATATTTTTTGACGCGATTTAAACTTACTAACAAAAAATACTATCAATATTAGCTTCCTTCCTGTAACCACGGGTTTTCTAGTACTTTTATGATTTTAAAAAATATAGTTATAAAATTTTAATAAGTTTAAGATTTTAAAAGGTATAACAATGAAAATGCTTCGTCAATTTAGTTATTTTTTCTATTAATTTTGCTACTGGTTTAGAGTCAAAGTACTAAAAAGGGTAGAGTAGGTAGACACCAGTCGAACTTGCTTAAGACTATTAAATTTGATTTAGGTAGCAGGAACATTCCATTTGTAAATACAGACGATTTGTACAATTTAAGACTTTTAGCCTCTGATAGAGCGGGATGGAAGAAGTTGTTATAGCTTGTGTATCAGGTTTTCTTTTTTTCTGGCTACTTATCAGATCTTTAAGATGTTCATTTATGTTCTATTTTTGATTTGAATAAAGTTATATAATACTGGTTTAGTATTGTCTCCTTTGAAAGTGACGAGAACCTTATCTTAACACACATGAATATTAAATACCAATTAATTAGCAATACGATATAACGAGCTATATTAATTAATAGTTAGCTTACACTTGGATCAGTGACGTGATCAGATTTATAAACAACCAGTCCCACAGTATCTTGAAATAGTAATAATAGATCTGCAACTAGAACTCACAATATCACAGTACAATGTACATTATTTCATGAATTACTTCATGCTGTTGTCTCATTTTTTAACTGAGATTTAAAATAGCTAATTTCCTTGCTTTTAAATACCATGTTAATTTTTGACGATGATATTATTGTTGTTGTTATCGTCGTCACAAGGCTTATGTGGGACGTGGGTGGGACTATAGTCATTATTATAATTCAAAAAATTATTTCTGTCTGTACGACAGCCCACGTGCAAATAAGATGAGAAATAGGAAATTGCATAGTAACCATGGCATGGTTACGAGGGTTGTTACACGCACGTGCACGTGCAAAGATTGTTAGAACGGCATTTTGATCGGTTTTGTAGTTATTACAGTATTAAGTTGTGTTCAGTGCGAGCTACATTTAAATTGGCCGCATCTTTGGTTGTGTAGGATATTTTTGATGCGATAGAAACTGACTACCAAAGAATAGTATTATAGGCATAGCTTCCTCCCTGTGAGTGTGACCACTGACCACGGGTTTTCTAGTCTATATTATGATTCAAGAAGAATTATTTTTGTACGACCGCCCACGTGCAAATCAGTTGAGAAATAGGAAGTTGCATAGTTACCATAGTAATGGTGTTGAAACACGCACATGCACGTGCAATGATCGTTTTAACATCATTTTTATCAGGTTTGTGGTAATTACGATAACGTTGTGTTCAGTGCGAGCTACATTTTAATGCTTTAATGAGCTGTGTAGTTGTGATTTTTTTTGATGCTATAAAAACTGACTACCAAAGAATACTATTACCTTCCTCCCTGTGACCACGGGTTTTCTAGTCTCTTCTTAAAATAAACCAAACCAGCAATCTTGACTAAGTGTCTTGAACTTTAGAATCAAAAGTTGCTACTTTTGCATTCTCGATGGTACTAAATCAAATAAACCGGACGTTGCTGTGACAGCAATGTTGTCACGTGACCTCCCAGCTGCGCTTTGATTGGACGTCATATAAATTAAGGTTCTTCTACTAATCTCTTCCTAAAATAAATCAAACATCCATGTAACTGCATAACATTTTAAGTCTAAAGTCATCCAATTGCAATATTATTCGGATAATCTTTTTCCGTGAGCCAGAAACAATTCTTGAACTGATAGCACCCTTCGGTTCTTTAACCAAAATACCTTTCTGTGCGTATACACTACTGCAGTGTTCCCGGTCTGATATAATACACCTAAGAAAATAGTCATAGTACGGGCGGTACCTTCTGCTGGGCTGAAATATGATTTATGGTCTGAGTGAAATATATAGACTTGCTTCTTCACTAAATTATAAGGGGGAAAAGTTTAAAGTTTAAAGGTTTCCACGAGCTGTATACAGGGCAGTGAAAAATTGGATGTATCACAGTGCTGGCAAGCACGACCGTTGCATTTATTGTGGGTATACTATGTTCCCCATTTACTATTATACCCCCTTTACTATTATACCCCCTTTACTATTATACCCCTTTTACTATTATACCCCCTTTGGTACACGTTACAAGCCTCTTTTGTGCACGCGAAGCGTGCACTCCGGCCGGAGGCGGCGGCCGAAGGCCGCCGCCTCCGGCAGGAGTTTTCCAGGCATTAAGACTCATCGGAAGTCGTTCAGCAGATTTATTTTTAGTTCAAAACATTCTAATTTGATGTCAAAGATGACAGGAATAAAAAATAGTTATGTTCACATTTTTAAGAAATTTGCATAAAATACTCGCCAGCACTGTTATACGAAATTCGGTAAAAAACCCAAAATCGCCATATTCAGGTGCCCTAAAAACCATGTTAAAATTGAGTTAGAGATCTGAAATTTTTCGGGGCGTCTAGACGTTGACCAAATTGACTGCAAAAAAAGTTTCAGGTTTCAGAAGCATCGGGAAATGGGTTTTCTAGAACCCCTGTTTTACGACAGATTGTCGGGACATATACATACAGATATACAGATATATATATTCAGGGATAGACGCTTTGCCAGTCAATTGTAGCCTGTATTTAAGTGTCCATAGATTCAAAAGTATAAAAGATACAGCCATTTCCGACCACAGGTCTTGCAAATAATTGTTTACACTTTAGTTTACATTGTATAAAAAATTTATTTGACGTCATAAACACCCCTTGATGACGTCATCAAGTTAACCGTTTTTAAAACTTGATTTTTGACAAAGTAATAACTTTTAAAATTAATTTTAACTCATTAAGGAGTAATTTTATTCAAAATCTGAGGAAATTTTCATCTTAGATAATTGTTCAAGCATTCTGAAAATCTACCGGAAAGTTTTTCTAGCTTGCTCCTTCATAAAGATATTTGTCATTGAAGTTTGTGCTTTTTTGAAGAATTATTTTATAAAAACGTCAATTTTGCGATTTAGTATTCTTTGGTGTTGGGCCATGCCTTGGGTTGTGGAGCTCAGTTCTGCTTCCTATAGGTATAAATTGTGCATTAGGCTAGTTTTAAAGTTGAAAATCGAAAAGTTGCACACGTGGGGACACGCCCAAATTGATAGAAAATTGCTAAAATCACTGAAAATTGCTGTTTTCGTCATTTTCTGTCAACTTTAGAGTGCCGTTGTGATTACAGTTCTTCTTGAAATTCTTTGAAACTTTGCATGCTT